TTAAGGGAAAGCTATTTTAAGAGTGTTTAGAAATAGAAAAAGGAAATACAATTTAAAAAGAATTTTTTTTTTTTAACCTACTTTAGGATGGATGAACCAAATCATATAGCTCAGTTGATTAAGATATATGTAGATTAAAAAGGTCGAAAGTTTGAATTCTCACCCTTACACTTTTTGTATATGTAGATCAATTTAGATCATTTATTTGTAGACTTTGATACGAAGCATGTTGTTGTTGAACTAAAATTTATATATAAAAAAATACTTTTAAGAGGGATTAACTCGTGGGCATGTGTATTAATGAGTTGGAATTTAGTTTTAATACTATGTGATTGAGAATAATCAATCAAATGGCAAAATTCAAATTTGAAATAATGCTCTCAATATATTAAAATTTTAATTTCTTCTCAAATTTTTAATTCTCAATTATACTCTCAATATATTAAAAAAATTTCAATAGGTTTTTACTTTGAAAATTTATTAAGAATTGTTAACCTAAAATTAATGGGTGATTAACTTAATATTATTTTGTTAACTTATTTAGACGCAGGAGCATATATATATATACATATATATGTTTGTTAATCGATATATTTTGCAGGTGGATGGGTTGAGTTTCATGTGTCAAAATAACACATGAGCGGTATGTTCACGTGTTTAAATATGTTGATAAAATAATAATTTAACGATTTACCAACTTTTTGTTAACAAATTTTAATAAAATTTGTATTGGAAGATTTGATTGATAATTTTTAGTACAAAGTAAAATTGAGAATTTTTAAAAATTTAGAACCAAGATTTGAGAATTGACTAAAGCAATTGGAACCATTTGTATATTTAGACTTTTTTTTTTTTGAGAAGAAAGTTGCAAACATCTCTACTCTATACAGACATATTTAAATTACGTCGCATCACGCTCCATTACATGAAGTATCGATGTAGTAGATAGTTGAAAAGACTAATTATTAATAGTGCTAACGATAGATACAATGTCCAAAATTTTATGGACTAAATTTATAATTTAATGTCTAACTTCCAAGTTTAACATTTCAATCTAAATATCTATATCTTTATAATATGAGTCGTAGGTTCAAATTGAACATATGTATTAAAGTCATTAGGGGTGTAAATGTGTTCTAGTAAATTTGTACACCATTAAAATAAATACCTCAAAATAATATATGTATATATTTTTGTATGCTTTAATGAGAATAAAATTCATATCATATTATTTGAAGAAAATATAAAAATTACACAAAGTTTTTGAATAATTATTTTCCATGCAAAGCTAAGATGATGGTGATCTTTGGCCTTTTAGAAAGATTTCCATTTTTGCGTTCCTTTTCATTGCACAAGTGGGAGGAACAAAAGCCTAGAAAGTAGAGACATGAAAAGATATAAGAAGATAATAATAATAATAAATAAAACTAGAGACATGAAAAATATAAAATAACGATAATAATAATAATTTAAAAACAAGACCTAAATAAATCATTTTGGTCCATCAAATTTATATCTTTTTTATAAATTTGTTTCTAATGCTTTGAAAATTTCAATTTTATCAGATGAAAGTATAAAAATAAATTTCAATTATGGTCTAAAATTTTTAAAATTAGAATAAATGATGGATGAGGTTGCATTTTAAAATGAATTGAAGTATTTTAAATGTTGAAAAATCAACAAAATCAAATTTGGCCTACTTTTTTTATCTTTTAGTTCAGTAGGGAATTTAAACCTATAACCTTCAAGGAGCTAAAGTTATATCTTAACGGTTTGGATAATATGTTTATATTAGTATCAACTAAATTTGTTTAAGCAAGAATGATTAGTTTAATATTTCACATCAAAAATCATACTTTTATGTGCCATATTATTTATTTTTTATTTTTTTATTAAACTTCAATAATATTATTAATAAGAATTTGATTAAAAATTATAATACTGTTTAGAAAAAATTTGAAAATTTGGAAACAAATTATATAAAAATATTCAGCAAATAAACGAGAAGAGAACATGGGCCATAATGTGGGCCAAATTTTTATGTGGGCCTCAAAGTTGCGTCTTATCCATTTCGAGTCACCGTACGTATCATTGAAACCCACTTGGCCTCTCTCTCTCTTCGATTCAAAAAGAACACCACAAAATGATATGATATTATCCTTTTTTTTCCCTCTCTTTTGGATATGGCTTTTTGGTCATTTCAAAATTTTGTAAAGTGATAAAATAAAATAATATTTTGGTTTTCTTTTTAAGCACTTTTTGTGTCTTTGCAATATCTGAAAAATAAAAAATAAAAAATCAAACGTCTATTAAGCTATTAAAATATGATGTAGTTCTTTTTTTCTTTCAACAGTGGTGGAAGTGAGAGATCGAACCATCGACTTTTAGAACGGTATTGGTAATGTTCGAATTGATAAATATGATATAGTTATTCATTTAATTAGATTATGTCCATAACGTTTCAATTCAATCCAATCCAAATGAGTCATTATTTTCACCCCACAAAATTTAAATTCTCTGTTGACTTATGAAATCATAATAAAAATTAAATGAAACTTACCAGTCACGTCTTCTTCAATCTAATATAGGTAAGATATTTATTACGTTCAAAATGGTATAGAAACGTTTACAACTTTAAATAAATTCTTCAAATAACATATATTTATATTATTTATCAATTGTGGATTTTTTTTGGATTAAATAAGTAACAATTTAATTAATGTTGTATTGTTTGGAAGAAAATATAAAATTACACAAAATTGAATCATTCTTTTCCATACAAAAGCAAGTTGATAATGATGAGCCTTCTAGAAATATCTCCAATTTTGCCTTCCTTTTCATCGCACAAGTGGGGGGCAAAAGCCTAGCTAACAAGATATTAAAAAGATTCCTTTTTTAATATGCTTAATATATATATTTTTTAACCTAAAATTTACACTATTTTTGAAATTTATCTCTAATATTTTAAAATCAATGTATCAAAATTTTCCGACCATCTATCTACTCAATAACATTGTAGACATTGTATAAAAAAACAAAAACAAAACAAAATGGTGATTTGGCATTTCTATAATATTGTTATTTTCACATGAAATATCCATATCAGCCTACATATAATTTCGAACAAAAAAATAATAATCATACTCGATTAAAAATCCAACCTAACCCTACTAAATTTTATTTAATGAAGTAGGGTGAAGAAAATGTTTAACATTAAAAAAAGATCATCTTATAAAAAAAAATTAAAAACACTATTTTGATCTTTATACTTTCAGCTTTAGTTTATTTTGGTCCAAGTACTTTCAGTTTTGGTTTATTTTAGTCTTCCTACTTTTAAAATGTTCATTTTGATCCTTCTACTTTTAAAAAATGATCATTTTAGTCAATGTTTGTAAAATTTTAACATAAATTCTATACACAATGAAAACTCTTTATTTAAAATTATGATTAAATTTCAAAAAATACAATAAGTGTATTGTCGTGTCGTGTCGAAATTGTGATCGAAAAAATAATATAAAGAAAAGTCCAAGATGATCACCTTTTACAAGTATAAGGATCAAAACAAATGTTTCGAAAGCATCGAAACTAAAATAGACAAAATTTGAAATTACATAAGTTAAAATAGACATTTTAAAAATACAACCACGGAAATGATATTTTAATCTAAAAAAATACTTTAACCTACCATATCATCATTTATTTATTTAATTTTAACGACAGGATTTGATAAAGAAAATTATTAAATCTCATATATACATAAAGAATGTGGGCCCACATAGGGGTGGGCCATGGTTTTACATGGGCCTCAAAGTTGTGGTTATCCATTTGGAGCCGCCGTACCGTATCATTGGAAAGCCAACCATTGGAACCCACTTGGCCTTTCTCTCTCTCTCTTCAATTCAAAAAGTGTTTGCAAATTTCCATATTCACCACAAAATGATATTATCCTTTGTCTTTTGCTTGTGGCTTTTTGGTCATTCCACCATCTCTTTTAAATAATTAAATAACATAAAAATCTTGGCCTTTTTATCCCCCTTGTATTTTACATTATCCACATCGACTTTTTTTTTCTAATTGCTTGAATAATTTTATATATATATATATATATATATATATATATATATATCCTTATTATCTTTCTTAATATTCAAGTTTCCATCACCGACATGAGTTCAGCAATAATTAACACATATTCCTTTCTTTGAGGTCAAAAGTTCTATTATTCGTATCTGTAAATTGTTGTACTAAAAAAAATTCATTATATTACTTCTACTTTTTTGGTTTAACTCAAAAAAAAGTTAACGCTATTTTAGTTAATAAAATAAAAATGAAGAGGTGAATAGTAAAATATTTAATATCATTTCACATCGAGGAATGAAATTTTAACTTCAAACTTTAAATAAAGTAAATGTCATGCACCCATGTTACCAATATTCAATATTTAGACTAAGATGAGTTATTTATTTATTTATTATTTTTTTTATGAGGACTTAGATAAGTGTTGTTGTAATATTTATCTTAAATTTGAATAAGTGTTACAAATTTTATATTCTATACAAGACTTTTGTATGAATTATCGTTCAAAAAATAGTTTCTTATCCATCAAATGAACAAAAATATAGAATATGAACAATACTTTAGACAGACGACACTAATATTTGAATTTTCGTGGATTGAAAATTTTATTTTATCTTCAAGCTTTATATTGATCCAACGTAGTCAAAGATTCATATCCATAAAAGCTAATGAATTTGAGAGATTTTAATCGTAATTTTTTTAATAAAATTAGTGGGCAAACGATGCAGAAGTCAAAAAAAAAAAATTGCAACGTGACAGGGCTCAACTTGATGAAAGTCGTCAATATGAGATCACTAACCAAGAAGTCATCAGTTCGAATAAGGTCGGACAAACAATTTAATTTCCAAAAATACCCTTACCGAGTCCAAGTTGAATTTTTAAATGACGAAAAACCCCTACATCGAGTTAAGGATCCCCACGCATCAAATTTGCAAACAAGTCGACAAGACAAGAAGGACAATTGAAGAGAGAGGAGAGAGAAAATGGATAGGGTATTTTCAGTGGGTGAAATTTCTGACCAGTACTGGTCGTCGCAAACGGCCGCCGCTCCTCCGCCGCCGTCACGGCCACCGGCCATGGCGGCCGATGTAGGCTCCAAAATGAACCGTAGCGCATCGGAGTGGGCCTTCCAGCGGTTCCTTCAAGAGACCTCCGCCTCACCACCTCATTCTTCTGCTCCAGACCATGGCGAAGTCATCGAGATCAAGGACTCTGCCCTCAATCAATCTCAAAAACTCAATGCTAATCACGATCGTATTAGTAATTGTAATAGCGGCAGCATTTATACCAATGCTGCTCCCACGACGACGGCCGATAATGGCGCCGCTGCACCGCCGAATATTCCGATCGATTCTGAGGAATACCAGGCTTTCCTTAAGAGTAAGCTTCATCTCGCTTGTGCTGCGGTCGCCTTGAAGAGGGTAAACTTTTGCCTCTATCTGTTTCTTCTTCTTTGTTTTGGTGGTTGTAGATTTCTTCTCTGTTTTGTTCATTAGGTAATTTTCAGAAAGAGTTAACAAAATATTGGAAATATGAACAATGATTTTGATATCTGGGAAGCGGTTTTTGACTGTTTTGCCTGTTCAGTAAGTACTGATCGGCAAGGGGATTGCTTTATTGAAGCTGAAGTTCTTTTCCCTGTGGCTGTCTCCATATGGTTTTATTCACATTTTTATTTTTCGTGGAGAAAGGGAGTTAGTTCTAATGAGCTAGATTGCTATGGTGAGATAGTTGGAGGTGGAATTTTTCATCAATTATTTTGTTGGGTTTCAAGTATTTTCTTATATTTCGTTTTAACTTCTCCATATGTTAAAACGAGGCATTTTTTCTTTATTGATGTTGATGGATATGTCTTCCCCTCCCCCTTTCCTCAACCCCTCTTCTTATGGAAAATTTTCTTCCGTTGGAACAGATTTATTGTTGAGGTTCAAAACTTCGAATCGAGTAATTGCTTATCTGCAGAGTCTTTAGGGACGAATAAAAGGGCATATAGAAGATATTCAAGTTTACCTGCGTAGGAAAAATTGACTGGTCATCTTTACGATGAGATTACTTAGAACGTGGAAGGGTTTAACTTCTTTTTGAAGCTCTAGGCTTGTGTGTACTAGTACGAAGGTTTTCCTTTGAAGTAAATTTCAGAATTTTAGTTCAATTACGGGCTACAGCTCAAACTCGCCTTCTTTGATTTTGGTGATGAAGAGCCTGGCGTAGATTTCCAGTGCAATTCATTGACAATTGACTTGAAAATATTGAATCTCATCCTTTGTGGTGTCCTTCATGATATCTAAAATTTTCACCCCATAGTAGTTTGAGCTGGAGTTTACAACTTACAGCTTACAGTACTTGTAGCATTAGGAGTTGGTATGACAAGCTGAAAACAATGTGGAGGAGTGCAGCGGCTGCGATCTTACAAGTTCGAAAAACTAGGAAGAGATTAATTTTGAATGATGCTAGGGGAGATAAGGAGGAGGTTTGAGATATTTGATAACTATGGCTATGAGTTTACGTGCTCCTTGACTAATTCAAGTGGAACACTAGAGGACCTTACAACATTTATCATCGTGGAACTTATAGAATATTTAATATTTTATGAAGGTGCCACCAGAGTTTGAATCTATAACCTCAATGACTTTTGAATCTCCAACTTGCTACTTTGGGCCACTTGAGGTTTTAAGATAGGGTTTGCCAAATGCTTTCATTGGACGCTCAATTCCAATGTTTTTTCAAACTACTTTCTTCGTTGTCTATTTTAGCTACCTGTACTCCTCTAGCCTATTACAAGGGCTGACTCTTAGTCATCTTGATCTTAATTTCATACATTTATAATACATTAATACGACTGTAGAAAACTAGCCTGTCTGAAAAAGTAATATTAACTGCTGGAAAGTAGAAAACTAGTCTCTTTCCTTCTTTTAATTGAGCTGGAGAGAACTTAGGACTTTTTTTCTTGGTAAAGTTGTTGAACTTTTGTTTCTGTATGAACAGGGATCCTTTACAAAGTCTCAAACTTCGTCCACCTCAGCTGACTGTGGATCACAAGCATCTACTACGTTGGGAATTCAAGGTTGGGATTACTGCATGTGTATATTCGTTTCTCACAAATAATGCAGAGATGTAATTATATCTTTTTGCCTTTCTTTATGTAGTTTATATTGATTGTCAATGTCGTTTAGCTCTCTCTTCATGCCAGTAGTTAGTTAAATGAACTGCTGAATTCTAGATTTTAATTTTTATCCATATCTTGCCATTCCATAGCTTCTAATATAGGAGCTGAGAATAATTCATTAAGGTCACCAGATAAGGATATAAATGGAGTCCTTGGAGTTACTTCCTCACCCTTGGTGCCAAAAATTTCTGAGGTTCGAGCTCGGTCAGCTACTAGTGGATCATCGAGAGATCAGTCAGATGATGAGGAGATTGAGGGAGAAACTGAGACAACTGAGAATAAGGACCCTGCGGATGTAAAACGTGTAAGGAGGTAACTTTCTGCCAGGTTCTAATTCAAGGATTGGAAGTATTGGATTTTTGGAGTCTGTCCTCACTTTTTGTGTTTATTGACAATCTTTATGGTTTATATCTTCATATAATAACAAACCAGTTTTACTGCAAATGCATTGTGTGAACGGTGGTGGTACAAATAAATTTTAATTCATATCTGATTAAGCTTTCTATGTGCAATGTTTCTTCTGCTGTCCTAATTTGTTCTTTTGGATATCAGAATTTTTCGTTCAGATTCTGCCTTTTGCATGCTTTAAAATTGTCCATGGTATATGCCTTTTGTACATGTTATGGGACCTCAAAGTGGTAATTTTTTTGCAATGAAGTGGTTATTTTAGTTGCATGATAGTTGCAATTGAGATTAGAACATAGTGCAGCTTAGTTATGGAGTTTTTTTACACTACAAGTTTTATTTCTCATTAGATATCTCTCATTGTTCTTGGAAATCTGGTTTTTTCAGAATGCTTTCAAACCGAGAATCGGCTCGACGATCAAGGAGAAGAAAGCAAGCACATTTAACTGAACTTGAGACACAGGTTTTGCTTCAGTTGTGTCAGTTGTTCAAAGCCTTGTACCTCTTTTATGATCTGCTGAACTGATAAATAGTGGTTCTTTTTCTTTACTAAACCTAGGTTGCTCAATTAAGAGTTGAGAATTCTACCCTGTTGAAGCGCCTTGCCGATATAAGCCAAAAGTACAATGACGCCAGCGTCGATAACCGGGTTCTAAAAGCTAATGTCGAAACATTAAGAGCAAAGGTACAATGACAATCAGTTGGTTCTAAATTTTCCTAATGCATTACAAATTTTTTTTTGCTTACAAGCTTCGCTAAAAATGTAATGTACTTTTCCTCTCATTTTGGAAAAGAGAAAATGCTCAAGATGCAATCTTTGTTAAACACAGAAGGCCTTGATTCGTCTTTCAAAGAGTTGATACCATTTCCAACTTGGCAGGTGAAGATGGCTGAGGAGACTGTCAAGCAAGTTACTGGTAACCCAATGTTCCATGCCATGTCTTCGATTTCCTCTATCGACATCTCTTCGTTCAATGGTAGCCGATCCGAGACATCAACAGATGCTGCTGTTCCCGTGCAAGACGATCCATGTCGCATATATCAACCTGCATCAAACAACCCCGTGGGCGCACGTGACATAAGAGTCAACAATGGATTGGCTGGCATTTCACAAGTAGACAGTGGGCAGCAGAGTTCTCCATCTACGGTACCGCCAGCCGTGTCGGGGAACAAGATTGGAAGATCCAAGTCTCTGCAGCGAGTGGCTAGCTTGGAGCATCTGCAAAAGCGGATCTGTGGAGCCCAAGCAAATGGAGAGCAGTAGATAAACAGGCAAGAACTGGAGATGGCCCTTGCACATATGAAAGATTTTTTACCTCATGAGTTGAAAATGAGAGCTTTAGTTCTGGTGATTGTTGCAAAAGATTCTTACTTCTTCATGCTAACGACATTGGTATTGACCATTTGTACTGTTAATTCTGTGGCCTCCTCCCATTTATCATGAATCAAACAGGTAATTATCAATGATTGAATTATGCACTCTTGTATTTTCCCCTTAAATATGTTTTTTTGTATCAACTTAAAAGATTGATTTAGCGTTGTTTATATTGGGTCGGGTCCCGATACTATGAAAAGCTTTAATTACATCATTGAACTTTAAAATTATGCTAAAACAAACGTAGATGAAACACATGCAAATGGGGCAAGGAAGTGGACGAGTTTGAATTAAAGGTTAATGGTCACGACATCCCATATTAGTGAAAGAAACTAATGAAATTGTTAAATTTTGTCAAAAAAAAAAATGACCGAATTAAAACAAAAATCAAATACATTAAGGATATAGTCGAGAATTTTATAAGATTAATGACTTCAAAAATTACCTAAAAGATGATGGACTGTTATGAGTATTTTGTCATTTTTTATACATTTAAATATTATTTTTGTTATTTACTTTCTACTATGATTTATTTTGGTTTGTTTTGTGAGTGAGGTGTTGCTAAAACTTTGATCGAAATAAATTAGATAAAAATGAAAACGGACGACCAAAATAGCTATTTTTTTTTAGAGCATCGAAACAAAATGAAGAAAAAATAAAGATTTTGTAAGTAACCAAAATGAACAAAAAAGCATTTAAACTTCTTTTAAATAATAATAAATAAATAATGCACAGACCTTTTATTTACTTCTTCCCTCCAATTTCTGTTGTATCCGTACAAATAGCCATGAACATGGCTGTGGAACAAGAATGGAGTTCCTAATTTGTGAAATATGCCCTCCAATGGCGACCAACTCAAGAATCGGGCTGCGAAAAGGCTCTGCATTAGGAATACACGCTTAAGCGCTAGTGCATGGAATTGAAGTATTACGAGAATATTCGAAGTCAGTGGCGGGTATTTTTCTTCTCCAATTGATATATTATTTCAATCCCTAATGATTTGTAGAAAGCATTTGAGTTTTCTTCTGGACTTTCACTTATGTACCGCTATGGGCGAGGCATTCGCCTTCTTAGTTCAGCTTCAACAAGTAGAAAAATCAATTGGGACCCGACTGTGGCTCTTAAACTTAATCACCCATCTCTTGTTTTTCTTGAAAAGTGCAATTCGAGATTCCAATTTAAGCAGATTTTGGGGCATATGATGAGAAACAATCTGATGGGTCAAACATTTCCCATGAGTAGGCTTCTCTTTTTCTCAGCTGTTTCACATCCTGAGAATCTGGACTTGGCAATACTTTTGTTTTATCACTTCACTCCTTTTCCCAATCTTTATATATACAACACCATGATCTTAGGATTGTCGTTTTCAACTGAGAAGGCCTTTGGCATTTATGGTTCCATGCTCCAAAGTGGCACTTGCCCAGATAGGCAAACTTTTCTTTACCTTCTTCAGACTACCAAATGTGTTGCTGAAGTTAAACAGATTCATTGCCATGCCTTTATTGTTGGTCTGCTGCCAGAGGAAGAATACCTGCAAAACTCACTTATCAAAAGGTATATAGACAATGGATGTTTTGGCCCTGCTCGCCAGGTGTTTGATGAAATGTTGAATCGGGATGTCGTCTCCTACAATATCATGATCGTTGGTTTTGGTAAAATGGGAGACAGTTTGGGGGCTTTGGAACTGTTCCATCATATGGGGTCTTATGGTCTTGAACCTGATGATATCACCATGTTAGGCCTTCTCTTGTCGTGCGGGCAGTTGGGAGAGGCGAAGTTGGGAAAATCTGTTCATGCTCAGATTGAGAAGTCCAGTGGTCCTTCAAACTTGATATTATACAATGCCCTTCTGGATATGTATGTGAAATGCAATGAATTGAAGCTGGCCCGACGAGTGTTTGATGTTCAGTTGGAGAAGGATACGGTTTCGTGGAACACGATGATTGCAGGATATGCCAAGGTAGGTGAATTGGAACTTGCCTGCGACGTTTTTAACCAACTTCCTACAAGAGATATTGTCTCCTGGAACTCTTTAATTTCAGGTTACGTGCAGAAGGGTGATTATGTGATGGTTAAAATTTTGTTTACTCATACGTTTGCCGAGAATGTTAAACCCGACGAGGTAACGATGGTTAACTTGATCTCTGCTGTAGCAGAAATTGGAGCTTTAGATCAGGGGAGATGGATCCATGGATTAGCAGTGAAAATGCAGACAATAATAGATGCATTTCTGGGTTCGACATTGATTGATATGTACTGCAAGTGTGGAAGCATCGAAAGAGCTTCCATTGTGTTCAAGCAAATTTCTAAAAAAGATGTTACAACATGGACAACAATGATCACTGGATTGGCCTTTCATGGGTATGGAAGAAAAGCTTTGGAACTATTCTCCAATATGCAACCCGAAACAAAGCCTAACGACGTAACATTCATTTCAGTTCTCACAGCTTGCAGCCATAGTGGATTTGTTGATGAAGGGCTCAAAATATTTCACAACATGAAGAAAGTATACAGTATTGAACCGGGAGTTGAACATTATGGATGTTTGGTCGATCTCTTATGTCGGTCGGGTAGGCTGTTGGATGCTATTGATGTGATTGAAAATATGCCTATGGAACCTAGTCAATCTGTCTGGGGTGCAGTATTGAGTGCATGTAGGACACAAGGGAATATGAAACTAGCAGAGAGAGCTTTGACAGAGCTGCTCAAGTTAGAGCCCGAGAAAGAGGGCGGATACATTTTGTTATCAAACATATATGCGACGTGTGGGAGGTGGAGCTATTCCGACAACATTAGAGAAGTGATGAACAGTAAAGGAGTGAAAAAGATTGCAGGCTGTAGTAGTGTGGCGGTCGATGGGATTGCCCATGAATTTACGGCTGCAAATAAGCAGCATCCAAGATGGATGGACATCTGCTCAATGCTGAGCTTTCTAACAAGTGAAATGAGGTTGGGAGCTGATGTTCTATCACAAGCATGCTTGACTTCAAGTTGAAATTTGTAAGGTTTGGAGAACTCTATGAAAGTCGGGGTTAGACCCTGATGAATGCCTATATGAGATTTAATATCGTATAAGTTTCCTTGACAATCAAAGAATCGGTCTCAGCTAGAATTCTATCTTTGGAACTATCCTCCTCTAAGTTAACAGCTAGCCACCCCTCTCTCGCCAAGAAACCTTATGGTTTGTATACTACTGTGCTCAAAAGAGCCACTCTTTGAAGGGTTACTCCACCTCACTTGGACTAATACTTCGTGCTATAGAAGGATTCTGTAGCTACAAAATTTTTATGGTTTTTTATTTTGAGGGTTCAACAAACATGTGAAGAAGAGATTTGAACTTTACCTTTAGTATGTAACAATTTTGTCCATTTAATTTAGAAATTATAACAATTTAATTCCTACTATAAAATTTAGTGTCAATTCTTATTATATAACAATTTAGTATATACAATTTATAAACACATGTGGTCATCTACATATAAGGAATTTTAAAAAATTTTAACAATAGGAATTAAAGCGGTACAAACTTTAAACTACAACAGTTAAATTGTTACGAGACTAAATTATTGTAGGATTAAATTAGTTACTTCAATGATAGTATAGAACCAAAAATTTGTACCCACAAGAGATTGACAATACTTAATTTGTACCCACAAGAGATTAACAATAAACAAGTAGGGAGATGATTTCAAAATTTTGGTATAAGATCTGTGCTTAAAATTAGTGAAGTACAAAGGTTGTTTACTATCTTTTCTAATTGTTAAGAAGAAAACAAACAGTTGTTTCAGATTCAGCCATATAGCCAAACATCACACAACCAAATACAAATGAAGTTCATGTAACTTGTTATGCTCTACAACTGCCATGTGAAAAAAAAGATACATCAATAAAAGAAGAAATTGTCAAAGGAATAATGAAGTAGGAGGAGCTAATGGCATCTTCCACAACTTTAATATTAGATTAAAAAAATGAGTAGTTTATATAACATGGGGGAAACTCTCTTCTAGGGGAATTGGACTGAAGCAGCTGAGGCAAAGTGGCTATGGAGGTGTACAAGTGTGACATAATAAATTTACATGGTAGTTGCCTGATTAGTGTGATATTTACAAAATCAGAGCCAAAAAATTGATTTTCCAATGTTCCAAACATATCATAAGGCCTTAATATCATTGTTTTGATCTGGAACCAATTCAAACTAGCATAGATCTGAAATTCTAAATCAGATAATTAGATCAAAACTTGCCCCAGATGTGTAGCCAAATCTCCATTGAAGTCTTATGTTACAAGTCCCTCCCAACTGTATCTCACAACTGTTATCGTTGTCCTGACGAAATGCTTCCTTTTCCGTCATTGCACGCTTTCTCCTCGAACAAGATTTTGGAGCTTGTAAATGGAAAAGGGCATAGGCAATGTGAAAATTATGCATACTGATTCTCACATACCGAGTAACGTTGACATGGAAGTCTGGTACGTTTTGCTCATCACGACGTCAAGCCTGCAATTGCAGCTATCTCACTACCCTCTCTCAGTCCTTGAAGGCACAAGTGTAACGTCCTTTGAACACTATCTGCTACGATTCTCAACCTTCCTTGGCTAACATCTCCAGTTGAATTCCCACTCACTTCAACAGTTCGAACCACCCTCTGTTTACATTTTTCCCAGTCATCGATGCGCAACCAGCACGCTCGACCCCCATGGCTTCCTTCCATACCCAAAAAACGGACAACTGGGTTTTCACCAAAGGAATATTTCAACTTCACTGAGACGCAGTATGGCAACCAAGCCGCACCTCCCGCTGCGTTCATGTGAGGTATATGAGCAGGATCAAGTACAACTGTCAAAGCAAAATCGACGGAATTGTGTTGTCGATCATAATGGATATTGCTTTTGGATGTCGACCTTTCAGAGTTCTCATCTATACTCAACCCGGAATGATTTTCAAGACACAATTCGATGCGGGGTTTTTGTGCAGGAGCAATATCTCCACCCTGTGCCTGGGCCACTCCCTTTTTCCATGCTATCAATTTCAAAAATTCCCTTAGAACTGATATTGGCAAGGTGAGAAGAGTGATGAAAGACGCAACACGAGAAGCATCATAAGGCTCAGATGCAACACGACGGCTAAAATAATCGCATATTTCACCAATTTCTGATTGTGTCAATTCCTCTTGTGCTGTAGTGGAGTTTGGCTGCTGTTGCTGCTGCTGTTGATGATGGAAACGCTTCACACTAAGCACTTGGAGAAGCAGTTGAACCCTATGGACGCTTACAGCAAATACATACCCCCTACATAAATATGAAATTGGATGAAATGAATAACTCGAGATGTAGAATAAATAGATCTGCAATGAAATTATTGGCAATCCAAAAGTAACTTATGTCCCAATGTTCTATGGTTATAGATGCTTTTTCATGTTGTAATCTCCTATATTTCATTAACAAAAAAAACACTGAAATGAGTTTTACAATACTGTCCCTTGTGAAATTCCATCAGAAGTTAGCACAAAAACAAAGCCTGTGGCAATTACAACATGGATATAATGAACGTGTCTTTAGCAGAAAATTGTGGGGTTTAGTGTTGCAGAAATTTATTTTTGTTAATGAAATAAAGGAGCGGGTGTGTGAATTAAATTTATCCCTCTCAAGCAATTATCCAAATTTATGGAAATATTGAAATAAAAAAAACAACGAAATAAATTCACTAAAAAAATATAAACTAGCAAGAATATGGAGCTGTCTAAGACGTCTCCACAAAGATTTTTTATGATGAAAACAAAGGCATTTTTATATGGCCAACCCATTAAATCTTTAAATGGAATTTCAAATAACATGAACAATCACAATTATCAATTATCAATTAGAACAACCATAATCAGCCATATGCAACCAGGTATTTCACACAATTAAAAGTACAACACTTACCCCACAAAGAAACGCAAGGCAGGCTGCTCAGGATCCAAATTCAGCAATGCACCTTCATTGTCCCTCAAAATTGAACCTAGGATCTCTTTCAGAAGATCTGGAAGCTGGGCGAATAGCCAAAGGACTCCAAGGTACTTGAGAATACCTCTCAAAACTTTCTTAAGAGCAACAAGGGGAACCCAACCTCCTCCATACCCCCCATCATCTCCAAGTCCAATAATAGCTGTATTTAATTCACCTCTCACGTGTGCAGGGACACCTGTTCCTGGCGATCTCCGTAATGGCAATCCCGAACTCACAGAAGCCAAATTTGGGGATCCAGACAGAGCATTACCTACACGATTTATGTTAGCCACCTGATTGCCTCCCCTAGACATAGCAGGAGAACCAGGAAGACTAAGTCTATTTCCATTTGCAGCTGTCATCTGTGAACTCGAATTTGGATTCTGATTGTTTGGGGCTGACAGTCCAACAGTTTGTTGAACACCTGGGAAGTTTGGTTCTAAGCCATTTAATTCTTGGGCAACATGCTCCATAATAAATGGCCGGAACTGTGGGCATGGTAATGACCCTCCAATTGAAGGGTTGACCTTGGCAGGCGTTGCTGGTTGCAACCACACCTGATCTCCTGCAAAGCAGCGCATATCAACTGCAAAGTGTTTCCTATATATTATCCTTATCCAATATGGACCACGTAACACAACAGAAACATCTATTGGCAACAATGAACTAGGAGCAATTCCAGGCCCACCACGCCCAGCAGCAGCTAACATTGCAGCCCCATGAAAGCTATGATTTGCAGGAGGGCCAGCAACATTTGAAGAAACAGTGTTCCCCACTGGGCCATTGGTAATCTGGCCAGCATTTGTGAGTGTACTGCTAGGTAAAACGCTCTGGGTTGGTGTATATCCTCCATGTTTCGGAAGGGAAGAGGGAGCAGCAGCTATGCCAGGAAGCGTTGGAACAGGACCAGCTCGTGCAGGTCGGGTTGCTGCTGCAAGAGCATGTAGTGGTCCAGCAGTAAGACGAATGCAATCCAGAAGGGATGCAACTTCAGCTCCATTTATAAAATCTTCAAGAAACTGTACACACCAGAAATTTATTCACATTAACTTATTATGAAAACTGAAAATAGATCTTGGCGTAATTTGAACTCATATCCTAACGACACTCGCATAAAACATGACAATAGCACATGCATCATCAGTATTCAGATGTATGCGGGATTTAGATCTGTTGGAGCGTTTTGTAAATGCAAAGTCCTAAAAGAAGATAAATATACATGGCTTTCCCATCTTAAAAAAGGTTAATATTTTCTTAGATGGCCAAATTTTTAGGTTTGTCAATAAGACATTCATTGCAAGCAAATTTATTAGAAGCAAGAGTTACAAAAACCATAAACTAAAAGCATTATAAAATTTACAGACCAGCTATATCAATTGTGAGACAGACAAGCAAATGAGTTCACCCTCACTATGAGAGAGAAGGGGAGAGATTGGTATTACGGGAATGGTAAAATACTTGTTACATAAATTATGAAAGAAATGCTAAAAAGATAACAGAAAATAAACACAATATGATAAAATAAATAACAATAAATGAAATAAACAAACCTTCGTATGAGGCCAAAGTTGATCGGGGGAAACATGCATAGTGCAACCCTCTTTACCCGCTTCCCACTCTACAACAAAACGTGCCAGCACACTAGAACCAAAGCTAAACCACAAGCTCATAAATCCAACTGCCTCAATTCTAAATACCCTCCTCATCTGTTCGGATAACTTATCCACTGCATCAGGTGCACCTTTTGCAACTGGTGCCTTAACATCTGAGGTCATACCACTCTCTTCTGGCTTCTCATCTGTTCTAACCCCAAGCAGTCTCCGCATCCCAATGGCAAACATTCTTGCATTGGAGAGTCTTCGTATATCTGCCACCAACCTTTCTATGCTATCTGCCTCTACTGATTGATAACTGAGAACAACACCTTCTGGATCATAACGAATATGAGAATCTTTGTCAGATGTATTTGCTATTCGAACGTCGGAGCCCCACGGAGCAGTACTGCTTTTCTTCTGAAGCTCCCACAAATCTCTGAAGTGCTGGTCATGTATCTTGACATCCCAGCACATGGTTCCTGGTCTTCCAAGTCGCAAACATATGTGTTGCCATGAATCACCTCTGGCAAATGGAAGCCCGAACCATATATTTGTTGATGCATTTCTTAGACCAACTTCTTCGACATATGGAATGTCCAGTGCATCCATCTGGCTGGTAAGTCTGGCATGTTTGATACATAGTGAACAATGCCTTATTACATGAAGCAGAGCAGAGACATATGTACTCGAAGGTGCAATGCCTTTGTTGGCTTCAGCAATAAGGTTACCATAACAGTATAGAGTTCTGGGAACCATTTCTTTTGATGTAAGCAACTGGGATGAGGGTTGACTAAATATAGCCGACTCCGACACCTTTCTTCTCTTAGGGATTCCATTATAGACATCAATACCTTTAAGTGATGGGATTAAGTTCAGCATATCTGAAGCAGTACGCTTCCGAGAATTATCATTTTTTAGACTGCTATCATACACAGGACTAGAGCAAGAATCCTGATTCTGGGCTGAAAAAGTACATCTCTCAAGTTAGTGAAAGTACAACCTTTATCTTTTCTAAGTTCAGAACTTCAATTGTTAAATTACACGCAGTTAACCAATAACATAGAAACTCAGAGAAAGTATCTTACATACGGGAGTTGACGCAGACGAGCATGATCCTGAAGGCCTCAAAGATCCTGTTGGAGCTGCAGTTGGTGAACTTCTGGATCCATTAGGTTTTATACTAGCAGAGATTCGAGGACCAGCATGTTGAGATGGAGATAATAGCCGAGATGACCTATTTGCGTACACCCCATCCTTTGATGTATCATTTGGCATACTTATATTATCATCGTCCAATGTAGTATAAGAACTAACCTCAACAGGATTTGGGAATCTAAGGGAGGTTAAATCCTGTTCAGATTTTGAATTTGAAAGTCGTCTGGTTGCAGCACCCCGTCCAGGACCAGAAGCAAGAGAACCCAGAGATGTGGAATGAACTGCACCCTTTAAATTGCTAGATGAATACAGGGAACCATTGCTGTGCGAGGGAATATTTGAAAGTTTTGCAACATTGTTACCCTGGGATGGCTGTATACCAACTTCCCACTTTGGAGAAGGAACTCCTTTAATATTATGAATATTAGAGAGAGAACTATAATGAGATGCAGATGAATTGAAAGATTGAGATAGACTTGAAACAGAAAAAGCAGGTACAGGGGGAGGTCCCTTCTCCAACTCAAATACATCATCAACAACAGATGAAAAACTGGATGAGGGATATCCAGCAATCTGCAGAGCACCATCAAGACTAATATCAGAAAGAAGACTATTTTCAGAAGTTTGATTATTGCCAGAATTTGGTAAAAGGGGCAATAGCTTTCCCCAGTCAAGCAAACTTAAGTTCAGCTCGTCTTCAAGTATCTGTATCCGATCAATGTCAATTATCTTCATGCGTATCACATTATTTATGTCACCAAGTCCATGGGCTTTCCCAGAAGGATCAGGCCTTGTCTCCAGCAGTTTAAACTGGGGCTTGAAATCCTTGTCAAGCTGCATTAGCAAAAAGTATGAATTCCCACAATCTGGAAATCCCATCAGTAACATGGATGAACCATTTGAAATGTTCTTCGGCAATCGAACTGCAGAAAAACCATTTTCATATACCTGCAAATGTTTAAGGTTTTAATTGAAAAACTGTGCTCGATGTAACAATTAGAATATATAAATAGTAGCAATCAAAATCTATCACATCATATTCAGCTTCAGAAAGAATATAAAACGCACAACCATACCTCAAGGCCCCAAAACCTACTAATGGATGCAAATAAATACAGAATGCTTTTGCTTCTCAGCCTTATAAAAACATCAGCTGCTGTCATACTTCCTTGATTTAAAGCTTCCTCACAATCTTTCAGTGATGCGGGTGCAAGTATATTGTGTGAAGACTGAAGAAGAAAACGGCCATTCCTACAAACAGAACAGTTAGTTAAAAGAAACAAAGAAAATATATAATATTAAAAAAAAGGGCAACATTCTACCGAAATATCTTGAAATCCTTTGTTTTAATAACTGTTGAATTGCGTTAATCCCACTTTATGTACTTCACATTCATAATTTATCTCAACAATTTAGGAAGTAGTTTAAAATTATGGTTAACTCAAATAAATATNTTTGCAGGAGACCAAGTTAGAAAGTATTGATAGAAAAGTTGTGAAGGCTGTGTGGAGCTTGCAGCAAATAGGTTGGACCTCTCTTGATGCCGTACGATCTTCGGGAGGCATTCTTATGATGTGGAACGAGAACACAGTGGAGGTAACAGATTCTATTATTGGCTCTTATTCAGTTTCTATTCACATTAGCTTACTCAAAGGCTTTTCAGGTTGGGTTACGGGAGGCTATGGCCCAGCGTCCAACAGAAATAGAGATACTTTTTGGCAAGAGATAATAGATTTGGCGTGTCTCTGCTCCGACGAGTGGTGTCTCGGTGGCGATTTCAATGTGGTTAGTTCTCCCTTGGAAAAATCTAGGGGGGGCAGAGTCACTAGAAGTATGAAGGATTTCAATGAGGTGTTAGATTCTATAAAGTTGGAAGACATCCCTCTCAAGAATGGCTCTTTTACTTGGTCAAATCTTAGAGAGGACCCGGTGAGCACCTGTATAGATAGATTTTTATTATCACAGAAGTGGCTTCAGTTTTTCAAAGTTGTTTCCCTCTATAGACAGGCTAGAACGACATCAGATCATTTTCCCCTTCAATTGAACTCAGGCGATCAAAGATGGGGCCCATCCCCCTTTCGGTTCGAGAACATGTGGCTAAACCACCCGCATTTCCTTAAGAACGTCGAAATGTGGTGGAATTCTTCAAATCCTCAAGGGTGGCCGGGATATGTTTTTATGGAAAAACTGAAGGGATTGAAAAAGTCCTTAGTTGCTTGGAACAGAGATACTTTTGGGATTCTGGAAAACACAAAGCGAGACACCTTAGCCAAGATTGAAGCTATAGACAAAGAAGAAGATTCGGGAGTCCTAACGGCTGAAAGAAACTCGTGCAGAACAGTTTTGAAAGCATCTTTATTAGAGACTTCTTTAAAAGAGCATCAGCTTTGGGCCCAAAAGTGTAAAATGAGTTGGCTGAAAGAGGGGGATGAGAACTCTCACCTGTTTCACAGATGGGTTTCGGCCAGGAGAAACAAAGCGGTGATACAGTCTCTAGTTGACAACAATGGCAGAACCATTGATTCAGATATGGAGATAGAAAGGGAAGTGGTGAACTATTTCAGCAGGCTGTACACGAAATCAGAGGAGCAACGTTTTGTGGTGGATGGCCTGAATTGGGCTCCTTTGCAACCCTCCACAGCTGACACTTTAGAAGCCCCGTTTGAACAAGCTGAGATTTGGAAGGCTATCCAAAGTTTAGACAACCTGAAATCCCCGGGACTGGATGGTATGACCATCGAATTTTATAAAAAAGCTTGGAACATACTGAAATTTGACCTATTTAGAGTGTTCCAAGAGTTTTTTCAAAATGGAGTGATCAACCGCCGTACTAATGAGACGTATTTATGCTTGATCCCCAAGAAGGCCAAAGCTAACAAATTTAATGAGTTCAGACCCATCAGTTTAGTCACATCCTTGTATAAAATCATTGCAAAAGTTTTGGCTGAAAGGTTAAAGCAAGTTCTTCCAACGATTATTGATGATGCTCAAGTGGCCTTTGTTGAAGGAAGACAGATTGTGGATGCTATGCTTGTGGCTGCAGAGGCAGTTGGGGATTGGAATTCTTCTAACAGAAAAGGGTTTCTTATTAAACTTGATTATGAGAAGGCCTATGACATGGTGGATTGGGATTATTTAGATGAGATCCTTGTCCATAAGGGCTTTGGAAGAAGATGGCGCTTATGGATGAAAGGTTGCCTCTCCACAACTAATTTCTCCATTTTCATCAATGGTAGGCCAAGGGGAAAAATTTTTGCTCAGAGAGGTTTGAGACAAGGAGACCCCCTCTCCCCTTTCCTCTTTACTCTCATAGGAGACTCCTTTAGCCGGTTAGTTAACTATTGCTGCGAGAAAAGAATTATCAGAGGTTTCGATGTAGGTAGAGATAAGATTGTGGTTTCTCATCTTCAATATGCGGATGACACAATCATCTTTTGTCCGGCTTTCAAAGGCAATTTATACCGTTGGTGGGATATCATCACAATCTTCATTCAAGGCTTGGGGCTGCGTATCAACTTGGCTAAAACTTCCTTGATAGGTTTGAACATAAGAGGGTCCACTCTCGTTAAAAAAGCAGATGGTATTGGTTGTTCGACTGAAGCTCTTCCTTTTCGTTATTTGGGTCTTCCTCTAAGCGGCAATCATAGGGCAGTAGCCTTTTGGAGACCGTTGGTGGATAAGGTTAAAGCCAAGCTTTCAAATTGGAAGAGATTGACTATATCCAAAGGTGGAAGGCTAACTCTGGCCCAATCTGTGCTCAATAGTATTCCTAATTTCTACTTTTCGCTGCTGAAAGCCCTTATTACGATTATAAAAGACCTTGATAAACTTGTCAGAGATTTCTTTTGGAAAGGAGGAGATAATCACTACTGTAGAAATCTGAATCTGGTCTTGGCTTTGGTGGTTTCCTCCATAAGAACACGGCTTTGTTGATTGAATGGTTATGGAGGTTTTCCCAAGAAAGTGAAGCTTTATGGAGGAAGGTCATCTCTAGCATTTATGGAGTTGAACCTCATGGGTGGTTGCCTAAAGATCCCAAAGGTAAATCGAGAGGTAGACCTTGGTTTGACATTGCTAAAACTTCCCCTTTCTTTATTAATCAGTTGGCCTTCAAAATAGGGAAAGGTAGCAGGATCAGATTTTGGTTTGATAAATGGAATGGAGAGGCAACCTTGGCAGAAGATTTCCCAGACTTGTATGCCATTTCCCTTAAAAAAGAAGCAGTGGTGGCAGATTGCTGGAGTAACGTGTATAAAACATGGGATATAGGCTTTCGAAGAGGTTTATTTGATAGAGAATTGGAATGCTGGACGAGAATGGTTCAACGTTTGGAGGTTTTCGTGTTAGAAGAAGAACCTGATGCTGTTGTCTGGCCGCTGGAGCAGAATGGTCGTTTCACCACGAATTCAGCCTATATGAAATTAAGAGAAACTCCTCCCAAATTAAAGTCCTCCCTGATAACTTTCATTTGGAAGGACCCTATCCCGAAGAAAGTAAAGGTTTTCCTATGGTCTTTGGCTCACCGAGCGCTGAACACCCATGAGAAACTTNGGTTGCCTAAAGATCCCAAAGGTAAATCGAGAGGTAGACCTTGGTTTGACATTGCTAAAACTTCCCCTTTCTTTATTAATCAGTTGGCCTTCAAAATAGGGAAAGGTAGCAGGATCAGATTTTGGCTTGATAAATGGAACGGAGAGGCAACCTTAGCAGAAGATTTCCCAGACTTGTATGCCATATGCCATTTCCCTTAAAAAAGAAGCAGTGGTGGCAGATTGCTGCAGTAACGCGTATAAAACATGGGATCTAGGCTTTCGAAGAGGTTTATTTGATAGAGAATTGGAATGCTGGATGAGAATGGTTCAACGTTTGGAGGTTTTCGTGTTAGACGAAGAATCAAATGCTGTTGTCTGGCCGCTGGAGCAGAATGGTCGTTTCACCACGAATTCAGCCTATATGAAATTAAGAGAAACCCCTCCCAAATTAAAGTCCTCCCTGATAACTTTCATTTGGAAGGACCCTATCCCGAAGAAAGTAAAGGTTTCCCTATGGTCTTTGGCTCACCAAGCGCTAAACACCCATGAGAAACTTCAAAGAAAATGCCCGAAGTGGTCTTTGTCTCCGTCGGTTTGCTGTCTTTGCTGGAAAGGAGCAGAGACTTTGGATCATTTGTTTCTTCACTGCCCTTTTGTTTTAAAAGGTTGGCAGCTTCTATTTCAATGTTTTGACATCCAATTATTTTTTTTTTTATAAGAAACTTAATTTATAGAAAAAAGGAAAGACAAAATACAGCCTAAGGGCAGGGGGAAGAGGGCTCCCCCTCCCAGAAAACTAATGAAGTAAAGCACTCCAATCTTGCATAATCGACGAGAGGCTGTAATTACAAAAGAATTTTCTATGCCTAGAACACCACCAAGAAGTGTGTAACTGTACTGTATTACAAAAAATTTCTAACGTAGAGGACTTATCTTCAAAAATTCTATTATTTCTTTCCATCCAGAGGTTCCAAATAAGGGCTCTAGCAGCACAATTCCATAGAATTTTTGCTTTCCCTTTAAAATGCCACCCCCGAAGAGCTTCATTCAACCACCTATCAATATTCTGAGGCATGCAAGTTGAATACCCAAAGATTTGCAGCAGAAAGAACCACCCACGAAGGGCAAAATTACAGTGAAGGAAAATATGGTCCATGGTTTCCTCATTCTGATTGCAAAGAACACAAACGGAAGGAGAAAGAGCCCAATTTGGGCATCTTCGCTGGAGTCTATCTGCTGTGTTTACAGCACGGTTGGCTAAGGTCCAAAGGAGAACTTTCACCTTCTTTGGAACAGAGAATTTCCAAAGAAGAGAAGTTAAAGGGGAGTTCATAAATGGGGAGTCTTCACACAAAATTTTTAACCCCGATTTAACCGTGTAAACACCAGAGGAATCAGGAGACCAAACCACTTTGTCAACTCCTTCTCCAATTCGAATGGTGTCCAACCTGCTCATAATATCAATCCAGCCCCTAACTTCGCTATCAAGCAGACCCCTTCTTGTGCCTAGGTCCCAAGCTAGTTGTTCTTCTTTCCAACAATCAGCAATCGTGGCCTCCTTTTTCAAAGATAAAGCGAAAATTTCAGGAAAGTCATGGGCAAGAGTAGTGTTCCCCATCCATCTGTCTGTCCAAAAACGGATTCTGTCGCCATGTTTAGCTTTGAAAGATAGAAATTTAAGGAAAAGGATGCTGTTCTTTGCTATCCAATTATGCATGCCTCAAGACGTGGAGAGCTGGTTATTAGAATGTTTTCACGGTTGGCATTTCAATGGAAAGGCTAGAGTTTTGTGGAGATGCGCTTTCAGAGCTTTTCTTTGGAATGTTTGGATGGAAAGGAATGATCACTCCTTCGAAGATAAACCTAAGTCTTGGGATTCTTTTTGTAATAGTGTGCAGGTTTTAGCTTCTTAGTGGTGCATTAGAAATTCGAAATTCTTCTGTAATTACAGCCTCTCTCTGATTTTACAAAATTTGAGAGTTTTTTGTGATTAGATTCTTTTTTGGAAGGGGCTGTCTTGGCCCCCGTCCTTTAGGCTGTTCCTGTTCTTTTGTTCTTCTAATAAAAGTGTTTCTTATCCCAAAAAAAAAAAAATCAAATAAATATTATGCAACTATTCTTTATAATGTTGAATTAATCAAATTCTCAGACAATTTTAATGGCCTCGGTAGATTCTTTTTGTGTGAATATTAAGCATACGGCTTCTTGGTGGGCAACAATCCACGAGAAGGTTTTTTGTAACTACAGTCTCCTTTTGATTATACAAGATTGGAAATATGTGATTGTATAGCTCTTTTTGGGGGAGGGTTCTCTCTACCCTCCGCCCTTAGGCTGTTCTTCCCCCCTTTTTTGAGGGTGTTTTTTTAATATATTCTCTTATGTTTCTCATAAAAAAAAAAAAAAAAAAGTTTGTATAGCCATGACTGTATTTATAGAAAAGAAGTTCTACAAAAAAACTCTTCCAATTCCTTGACTTCACTTACTTTAACCATCAACGTGATAAATTTTAGGTAAATTACACTTTTGGGCTTGAGGTTTGGATTTGATTTATATTTGGTCCATTAAATTTTATAAGTGACACTCTGTCTCTCTTCCCGGTGCCATTGATGCACATTAGACCACCATCATCTCCTTGCCTCACGTTCAGAATGCCAAAAAATCCAAATCCAAAATATATGAACCTTCCCAACGCCATTGAAGCACCATCTTTGTCTCTCTTTATTGCATTCATTAAACCCAATCCAAAATCTAAACTTTTGAAACGCCATTGATGTACAACAAACCATCTTCATCTCTCTCATACTCACGAAGCCCAGATAACCCAAATCCAAACTATTTTATACATGCCTATTTGTCTCTTTGTGCACATCTCGAATACCTAGTCAAAGTCGAAGGTAAATCACGCAAGTTCTAGAACCAATCCATGCACCCAATCTCAATTCACGACAAATTTGAACTTCTAAACCCAAAAAATACCAATTTCGGTAAAGGCACGGGAAACGACAAATTTTGACAATCAAGTGTTCAATAGGACAACAAAAGCTATGGACAAATTTAGCAACTATGTAGGACAAGGCACGGGATGGACGAGATCGGACTTCTTTGGAAGTCTTTTGAATTTGGGTTTCTCAATAATCATGGTAAATGGCAGAACAAAATATATGGGTTTAAGGGCCATGGTAAAGCAGAACCCTTGAGTTTTCTTTAAGAAAAGCCAACCATCCACATAGGGAAAACGGGGAGGGAAGGGGAACAAATGGCAAGGAAAGGGAGTGAGAAAGTAGACGGAGGAGAAGTCAATGGGCGAGAGAAAGTGGAAAGAAAAATGCCACACAATAAAATTTTAATATAAAATTATTAAATTTTGCCAAATATTTAAATTTGTACATGTCAGCGAAGGCCTAGTCAACATTTAACTGCCACTAGGGTTGTACACAAGTTGAAGACATTTTATGGACCAACCAAAAAATTTGGGTCGGTCGGTTCTCTAACCCGAAGGAACCAAAATCCAACCATCCTAACCAACCCAACCCAACCCTATATGTTCGGGTTGGGTTGGATTGAGTCGTCAAGTTGCAAAATTTTGGTAAATTTCCAGAACATGTAGAAAAAATTGAAGGCCCACGCGGCATGCCAGACACCGATGGTGGGACAAAGCAGGGCCACAAAACAAGCAATGAGATGGAACAACGACAAGCAAAGATGTGGAGTGTGAATCAGAGATCTGAAGTGAAGATGCCAAGGGAATGTAAATCTAGAGTGAGGCGTTGGAAACTGGAGATTGAGGGGAGAATGGGAGATGGAGGTGGCTGAAGATTGAGAGAAGGAGAAGAGAGAAAAAGATATAGGCAACAGTAGTGCAGAAGAAGAAACGGAAAATTGGGAGAAGGAGAAGAGAGAGAAAGAGACTTGAAATCCTACCCTCGGGGCATGTGTGAAAGAAGTTTGGAGAAAGGCAAAGGCACGAACCATGTGGCAGGGATGGAGCAAAGTTTTTTTTTTTTTATAAGCAACTGCACTTTCATTGAGATAAATGAATAAAGACTACAAAAAGAGGGCATACAAAAAACAGCCCAGCAAAAGGAAACCCCTAAAGAAATGGGCTCCAATCCAAAAGAATGACTCCTAACTGATAATTACAAAAAGCCTAAGTGACCGATCCTCATAGAAAAGTGTTAAATCTAATAAGATCTCACACATAATCCACATATCTCTCCACCCCCCTAAAAATTATATTGTTTCTCTCCTGCCAAATACCCCATAGAGTAGCCAGAAATCACGCTTGCCAAAGAAAACGTCCTTTGTCTCGAAACGGAGTGGAGCAAAGTTTGAAGAAAGCAAAAAGGCAAAGGCACGAAACATGTAGAGCGGGTGGTGTTAAGTGCAGCCTAGACCACATACTTACCAAGTTTTTAAAAAAAATTATTTAATATATTAAAAACGGTTCGATTCATGTTAAACCAACCCTAATTTTTTAGAACCCGCGAATTGAACCAAAATTCCATTTTGTAAAAAAATAACCCAACCCAAACCTATAAATTATCTAATCCAACCCAACCCTTATGGTTTGGGTTGGGTTTTCCCTTTTTTTGAGATGTCGAGTTACTTGAACACCCCTAACTGCCACGTCATATTTCAAAATTCACTTGGACAAAGAATTAACGTAGTTTACCATGATATCAGTATCATAATCGCTTTTTTAGATAAGAATCAGTATAACAATTTCAAACGTATTATATTGAACATTTCAGTCGAAACTGATTCAGGCATGCTATAAATTTTCTTATTTAATCGTAACTAAAAATCTGTCCAACTCCTAATATAGTGTAGCAACTATTTCTTACTTAATATCATCTCGAAAGAAGGATACCTTGTGTTTATTCCAAGGGTGAAAAATGATGAGCCATAGGCACGCACACGCAATATTTCTTGTCCTTCATATACAGTGGGATCATGAATTTTATCCTTCTGAAAGAAAAATAGCCGTTAGAACAAAAGTAAAGAAAGAGGAACAGAAGTTCAATGTCATTGCATGTTCTTTGATGCTGCAAAATTAGATAAATAACAAATTCCTACTACCAGCAAGAAAGAGAAAATAATGAAAAGGCTACACGGTCTCCTAATTGAAGATAACCATAATTTACACATGTGACATGAGTAAACCATATCTTTCACTTGCAAAAATAAGTAGAATAAAATAAGGGATACGGGAATTAAGAAAGAACAAAGAGAACTGATCCACAAAATGAAATTTCTTCATGAAACAATTTATTTTTCCAACAATCAAAAAAACATATATCCTCTAAAGATTATACCTCAACAAAAGATGGGAATGAGAAAGAAAACCAGAAAATTCTCACAATTATAACAACAATAAAAACGACAAGTATACATCAACCTTATGCACACACCGAATGCAAACCCTTCACCAATTCTTCCTCAATCATGTAGTTCTCACTCTATAACAAATTAATTGTTCTCATCAAATGATTAATATACCTGAGCCTTAATTCAGACAGATACAAAATAACATCCCATACAGATAGCTGATGAGGAAAGGAAGTGGTATTCAAACAAAGCACCCTTCAAATGTAAATCAGTGGGAGAGTAGTAAAGTAAACTATACTAGACAGGCCAACAAGTTTTTTTTCAACATTTCCTGCACTTGACACAGTTAAATATTATATGAGTATGAAGAAAAGAAATCATCATAAACAAACAACCACCTTTTTATGGTCGACGTCAGGCTCGTCAACATTATGTTGAAGGACAACATCATCTGCCGCTCGACAAATTTGAACATTTTTCTTCAATTCTTTTTGAATTTCAAGAAGCCTAGTATATTTATTACAACATATAGCCCTCAATAACAACTTTTCAACATCAATGCAACTTTGGTCGAGAGAAAATTCAGCTTCCTTGTTGGTTAAGGGATCTATGACAAATGCAATGTGGATGCACTTTATCTGCATATCTGGTCCAGGTTCAATTTTTATGAAGGGACATGATCCTGGATCAGAACTACCGGTGTTTTTATCAAAATCCAACCAATACATGATTTTTAACCCAGGGGTTCGTAGACTAGATAAGTCAGTTTCTCCATCTTGGTTCAATTGTGCAGAACTGCCAGTAATACCCTCAGATATGAGCTCAAACCGAATAGCATCTCTCCATCTTCCTTGTCTAAGAGAATGTACTTGCTTTAAGACAGTGTCCATAACAAGCGAGATGCAAAGTTCATGCAAAATTGAATACAATGTGGAGAACGGATTTTCAGCGGAAGCCATTCTGCGTTCTAAATCATCTCCAAGAGCATGACGATGCAATTCTTCCAGTTTCACAGGTCCCCTTCTCTCCCCAACTAGCAGCTCTAAATGCAGTATTCTCCACAGTGACAAGTGCCCTCTGTAGCCTAGAGTAACTAAAACCTTAAATTCCCCATCTACACGAAGTAGTGCTGTACCATCAGTGACTTTTACTTCAGAAATTTCTTTAGGAAGTGTAACTTCCAGTAACTTAGACCGTACTAGTATCTCCAACTTTTTTAACGCATTCTTTTGTTGATCTTCGGTAAGTGTTCCCTGAATACTTATGTCTTCTACACATTTTGGTAGACGCTCATAGGTGCCTGTAAGAAGAATTTCAGTGGCAGATGGAACATCATAGATAGGTGCACGAGCTTGCTGTAGCCCCTCATGCATGAAGAATAAAGAATCTGCAGCTTGTGTAAAACATGTATCATGACTCGATAAAGTTGATGCAAGTTGCTGACAATATTGAATCAACGGAACCTGCAAGCAAGGAGGTAGACAATCAAACAAGAGAAGACAAAATATAAGAACGAGGAGAAATACATCCATTACCCATATTATTAACTGGGAGCTTCATTTTAAAATTAATTGATAATTGATGAAGGGAGAAAAGACAAACATCAAAATGTTAAAAACCAAGAGAATCAACTCATGTCTACTTCCATAATTTATTCTTCAATGAACGTTACTAGTGCTCCACCACATACCTGAGTGCAAATTGAGCCACAGGTTTTTTTTTTTTATCTTCTTGTAAGAAATCCTTTTTTTTAAGAATATACAAACTTTTTATTTAACAATAATGTTCAGAGATACAAACTCTCAAAAGAGTGAAAGAGAAAGTAAAACAAAGAAATAAAAAGTACGAAAATAAGTTATGGCAAATGAATAAAAACGTCTCAAATCATGCAAATGGCACTAGGAGAATAATCCTCAAATGATTTTCATAATGAACACCATTACACCATTGGGAAGCCTTAAATTTGGCTATCTCAAAGCATTCTAGCCAAATTTTACTCGTCTTCAAAGACCCTTTGCTTTGTTTTTTTAACTTTATACCCACCAAACTTCCACTAAGCCAACTATCTACTCGATTTGGGAGGCAAATCGAAAGATCAAAATTCTGAAGAATATGATACCACTATTTTCTAACAAAAGGATAACAAAGAAAGAGATGATCTAGGGTCTTCACACTACCATAACATAATCTACATATAGGAGGAGATAACGACCAGTTGGTGAATTTTCTTCGGAGCTTCTCATACGTATTTAAGCATTTTAGCTAAGTATCCAAAGAAAAAACTTCAACTTCTTGGGAAATTGGAATTTCCAGATGGTCTTGATTAAAGGAGACTGCACTCTTTTGTTTGGAGAGAAACTATTAAGGAAGTTGAATGTGAGAGTCCTATTGGGGGTATAGGGGAATATTGGTTTGTTAGTATGAAGGGGTAGTATGGTAATTAAGAGTGTAATTAGTTAGGGTGAGTTGTTATAAATAAGGGTAGTAGGGAGAGGAGAAGGATATCTTGGAGAATAGTATTTTGGTAAGGAACTTGAGAGAGTTCTTCGAGAGAGAGATAGTCCTCTCAAAAGGCTATTGGCGTTGTAATTTCCCTTTGGATTTGCAATATAGTTATCCAGTTAGGTTCTCATATTTGGGATCCTAACATTGGACTTACAAGCGAAGGAGTCACTTGGTACAATAGCCCATCTCATTTTGTCTTCCCCCAAGCTTCGACTGCAATAGATCAATTCTTGGCATGAAACAAATCCAGTTGTTGATCTCCCAATCAAAAATTGATCTCCCAATCAAAAATAACTCTGCAAACACCTAAGTCCCAAGTGTAGGTGGTTGGATTCCAGCAAGTAGCTAATGGAGCACCTTTTGCAGTTGAGATCACATAAATATCAAGAAACAAGGTTGCAAAGGACTTATCCCCCTCCAAAATATCCTCCCAAGAATAAATTCTTTCCCCATTGCCGGATTTAAACGTGGAGAAGTTTAAGAAACCAGCCCTGAGCTTAAAATTTTAAAAATTTCCATCCACGATTTGCCTTTAGAGCTACCCTTGATCGGGTTGGGAGTCAGTCCCATCAGGCCTTTAGCATATATAGATGCAACAACCTTTCTCCATAGAGCATAGCTAAGCACAACTCCCTAATCTTGGACAGAATAGCCTTCCGGTTGGGGGACGGATCCACCCCTTTGTTTTGGAAAGATAATTGGCTCAATGATGAGCCTTTATGCCGCACCCACCCCCTTCTTTTTGCCCTCCACAACAGGAAGCTTGACTATATTAAGGAATTCTGGTCTTCGAAAACCAACTCATGGGATATTTGCTTTTGGAGAAACTTAAAGGATGCAGAGATAGTTGAATTGACAGCCCTATTACACTGCCTCTCCTCTCAAAGACCAACATCGAACAGGGATACCATTATGTGGAGAATGGAACACCCCATGGTTCTTTTACCACAAGCTCTCTCATCAAGGCCCTTCTAAGGAAATTTTTCTTATTGGAAGCCAGCCTACATGCTCTAAACACGCACGACCAATTACAGCGAAGAATGCCTTATATGGCCTTATCTCCTCATTGGTGTCCTCTTTGCAAGCTTCACAGTGAACCCATTGGGCATGCCTTTCTCACTTGTCCCTATGCCACAGTTCTTTGGAACAAATTCTTGCCCCTCTTTGGTTGGTCGGTAGCCCTCCCCACAGACATGTCACAACTTCTAGCTTCGACCCTCCTTAGCCATCCATTCAAGAATGAGAAAGCCAGTCTATGGATCCACTTCATTAGGGCTTTGCTTAGGTCTATTTGGAATGAAAGGAATCGTCGTATCTTTCAAGCAAAGGAACGCTCTCCACAAGCCACATTTGAATCTATCGTTTTTTTTTTTTTATTTCTTGGTGTAAATGCTCCCCCTTTTCATTCTTATAGTTTTGCCTCCTTGATAGCCAACTGGAGAGCTTTTTTGTGAACCATATGGGGCTCTCTCCCCTTTTTGTATTCTCCTCTCCTTATTCATTATATCATAATATCGTTTCGTTTCACCCAAAAAAAAAAGAAAACCCTTTCTCCATATAGCTTTTTCCACGTTAGCAAACCTCCAAAGCCATTTAGTGAGCAAAGCACAATTTCTTTGTTGAAAATCCCCACACCCAAGCCTCATTAGCCTCATTAGGAAGTAGGAAGTGAATAAATATCCCAACTAACCAGGTTGCACCCATGGTGACAAACGCCTCCATTCCATATGAATTTACTTACCATCTTGTCCAAACTGGTGGTGACTTTGCCCATTAGTAAGGAAAGCCAATAAAGCGAAAGGCAATTTAGAACCGATTGAGACAGAATTAACCTACCGGTCTGACCCCCTTTCAAGAGAAGAAGGCTTCTGCATTTATCTAACTTAACTCTCAGCTTATCTATCAAAGGATCCCAAAAACAAGCCGCCTTTTGATTACCTCCCAAAGGGAAGCCTAGGTAGTTAAAGGGCATAATCTCCATTTTGCATCTGGGGCAGAGTTATGTCTTTAGGCATAACCTCCGAAGAATTGTAATTTAGGCCTATAAAAGCTGTTTTGGAGAGAGATGAAGATAAACCAGAACTTTACAAAAAAGATGTTCAAAACGAGCCACTAGAATCTGAGCATTCGCTGAACCGGGGAAATTTCATGGTAGTCTCTCAGAGGAAATTTCAACACCTTCTTCCACACTTACTCGAAGGAAATTTCACGATAACCTCTCAATCCTAGCAATTGTATGCTGGGAATTTAATTGGAAAGGGAGAACTAATGAGGATATTGCATAGTATTGCTTAAACATGAGAAACTCTCCCTCCTTTAGCACCAGCGTAACTCAAGCACAAGTTTGAAATAATACACCCCTCCACCTACACCACCTTTTTTTAACAAGGTACGAACTTTTCATTAATAGATGAAAAGGAATGGAAAATCCACCTACACCACCTTTGAACAACTAAATGACATAGTTTTTTTATTTTTTTTGTCTAAAATGGTGGATTTCTATCCATTAATTCTAAGCCCAAATAACAAGGTGCAATCAATTGGGTCCCATCAATTATAAATGACGACATCAAACCGACCATGTCAATGTAAAAAGGAAGAAAACCAAAAAGAAGTTGATAATTGAGAAAAATAAATTGACTTTACCACCAACCTATCCTTTTCTTTTATAAGAAACAGAAAGATGTATAATCAAAGGGAAAAGGAACAGCCTAAGGGTCGAGGGACGAAAAGGCCCACACTCGGAACTGAACTACTTACATGCCTTCCAATCTGAAATAACCACCAACCTATCTAAATCAACTAGTCTGATGTAAACTGACAAAGTAACAAAAAACCCAATACTGATTGGCAGCAATTCTTCTATTACATAAAAAATTAACATCGGCCTTAGAGAATCTACAGTCTACTCTCTGGTGTACAAATTTTTTGTTTCTAATTCTTGGAATGTAACTTCAAGGACTCGATAGTTTCTGGAGGGTGTAGAGATACTTTAAATCACTTCCCAATTATTCCAGAAATGGGAGCTTTGAATTAAGGTCCAATTTGGAATCAATAATTTATGGATTCAACATCCCTCCTATTTGCAAGTAATGGATGACTGGTGGAAAAAATTGGAGGCTAAATTTAAAAAGAAATCTCATGGAAGATGAAATTTAAGAATGGATAATTTTTTCCAGTTTGATTTTCCAATATAAAGCTATCTCAAAGCTAGTGTTTTACGTGTAAATATATTCTAGAGGATTGAGGACACATGATCTCATTCAGCACTAGCTGCTTCCATGAGTTGTTGGATTCCCTTGGGTTTGCTAGGTTTTGTGCTATTCAATACCTAAAATTTCAAAGAATATTTTTTTATGGACAATAGCACTAGGGAAGTCAACACTGTTGATATCTTTTTATCTCCAAGCTAGTGTTTTACGTGTAAATATATTCTAGAGGATCAAGGACACATGATCTCATTCAGCACTAGCTGCTTCCATGAGTTGTTGGATTCCCTTGGGTTTGTTGGTGTTTTCACATGGACAGTAAGCAACACATCATTCAACCTTTTTTTTTTTTGTGAAAGAAACAATTTCATTAATAATATGAAATTACAAAAGAGATAACAAAGACCCAAAGAGGGTTACATGAAGCACTTCCAATTGTAAAAAAGGGAGGTGTAGGAATAATGTTGAAAAAGAGGAGGACTTTTACTCCAAATGATAACAGTGAAGACTGAAGAATCAAAAACCCTATCAAAGGGGAGGTCTTTGTCGTTGAAAGTTCGGTTGTTTCGTTCTCTCCAAGTTATAAAAAAGAAGGCTCTAACACATCATTCAACCTTCATGTGGGCATTCTTCAAAGATAAGCTAAAGTTCTATAGATCAATGTTGTGAAGGCCCTTCTTGGGAAATTTAGGTAGACAAAAATATAAAAACATTTGAAGTAAGAAAAGAAGTTCCGGTAACTTCGGGATCTCACTAGATTTCTAGCTTTTAGTTGGAGTGTCCTGTCCAAAGGACGTTGTAATTATAGTCGACTTTGTAATTAAAGTTTTTTTTTTTTTTGTCCTTGTCAATTGGACCTTTGTTGTAACCTTCTTAGCTACTTGGAGAAAACCAATCTTCCTCTTCCAGTCTTCCTATCTGATCCTTGGTGAATGGAATGGCTTTTTATCAAATAAATAAACTTAATTCAACAAACTTAATTATCAAACCATCCGAAGCCAACAGATCTTGATTGTGTTGGTTTGATCCCACGTCCCGACAAGATGATTCCTCAGATAATGCCTTAAGAATCATCAAAAGCCTCTTCAGATTACAAAAAGACTCCTCATTACCCATGATGTCATCTGCAAATGGTAATTAAGTGAGGTGAATATCCTTGCGACTAACATCCTCAATACACCCTCTTCCCACCCCTCTATCAATCAGTCTGCTTTGGCAACCAAGATAAACAAGAACAGAGAAAGGTGGTTACCTTTCCTCACACAGTAGAGAGAGAAACCTTCTCCTTGGCTTGCAATAGAATAAGATAGAGAAAATTTGTGAATTTTAGGCAATTTCCCAACCCATATCATCCACTTATACAGTCTACAAAACCTCATCCGAATAACCTCATCAACATGATCACGAGCCTTTCAAAATCAGTTTTAAAAACAATAATCTCCTGAAAACTAAACCTCAAATTATCATATCCCTCCTCATCTAGCCTTCCTACCGCCTTGAGATTCAAACTGCTAAACAAGTGCCCATTCTTCCATGCTCCAAACTTCGAATATGAAAAGGGGACGAAGGGGACTAAATCACAGTTAACAAATATCACTACCAAGACCAACAAATAATCCAATTCAAGTTAGATACAAAACAAACAGTTGTGCAAAATGGAAAACTAAAACTGAACCCACTTCATAATATTCCGGATCCAATTTTTCAAATAAGAAACACAAGGCCCAGCCCTATCCTAAGGAACCACCACTCAAATGCTGAAATTAGAATACGAACTAGACAAACACCATCCTGACGTGCAAACGCTAAATTCCGTGAACACTAACTAGGCAGCAGCACATAGAATTGAAAGTTAAGAGGGAAAAGAGGAGAAGAACACGAACCTGTTGGCACCACTTAGCAAGGGCATTAAGGCGGAGCATCCTCTGCTGGGTCTTGACAACATACTTGAGGATGTTAATCTTCTTCTCGGAATCGGATAGGTCGGAGGACTTGGAGTTGTGGACGAGGTCTTTGAGGGAAAGGAAGGAATCCTCGGCAGCCCGGGAGACGAGGGCGGAGAACTCCACCGTCTGTTGCCCTAGCTCTGCTGCCATGGTTGTAGAGGCTCGTTCTCTCTCCCAACTTCTGGGCGAGGAGGAAGTGGGAGATCTATAATGCAGAAATCATGGAAGCTAGGGTTTCGGACAGGTAAATTTCAGGAACGAACACCACAGTTGGGAAAATCCACAGTTTTATCACCAAAAAAGCTTTCTTTCTCTCAGCTTCGTTTTTGTAGGTTTATTTTTTTAATTTTTTTTTTTTATGGATGAAAAGAGTGTGTTTTGCTTTACGATTCCTTATGGTTTTTGTTTTGGAGGCCGCCTAATGGGTCCCACTGCTGATTTTTGTCCACGTGGCATTTTCATGGTCAACGTTTGTGGGATTTTTCTTTCTTTTTTTTTCTTAATCCAAGTTGTAGTGAGGATGTTCTTTTATAACTTTCATGATTTTTTTTAACCTAGGAATGATGGGATTAGTTTTTGTGATCTTATAATATTTATATTGATGTAGGATTTAGATCGGTGTTCTGACGTTTAGTAGTGCTATAAGGAGTCTCCTCAAGTTGGTTCTCCTCCTCGCACACATCCGGGGAAAGTTAGCAAGGGAAAGTTGAAAGAATAGTGAACTAGAAATGTCACTTGCATTTTCAGGGTTGGACTTCACTGCTACTTATAGCCATGAGAATGATTCCATAAGCTTCCGTAGCGGAGCCCTAATTTAAAGTTGCAAGCCCCGAGGAGCATTTTTTATCGAAGGCGGGAGAATCACGAGTTGGGCCATGGCTCGTCCCGGTTGGTTCTCTGCCGGTCGCTTTCCTCGTTCCTCAGCTTGGCCTTTTATCGATTTTCCATTGCATAACAGTTTGATTTAGGTGACTCGATCCATGTCGCTTCTTTATGGTAAATCTAGTACGATATTTCACCTATAACAATTTAGTTGTTAGAAAATATCTACAATAATGATAGGGTCAAAATATGTTATCTTGAAATTCTTTGGCTTTTTTTTTTACCCCTTTGTATTTTATTAGATTTAGTCATATAATAAAAAAAGGTGGTGAAACTAATTAATATGGCTTAATAAAAAAAATTATCTAGAACCAATTTATAAATTGTTAAGAATTCAACTAAACAATCAGATGGAGATATGTAGAAAATATCTATATACCTAGTCCCAAAAGCAAACAAGTAAACATAAAAATAAAAAAATACATTAGCACTTATAATAAAATAAAGTTTTCAAAGATAATTAAAAGACCACTCAACCTAATTAAAAATTATATTCACGACAATAGTTTCATTCCAACCATTATAAAAGATTTCGTCTCTCTTAACACTATTTTAAAATATTAATTTCTATTTTATTTTTTTAACTATTTTTATTTATCAATTATAGTTGATTTCATACATTGCAAAATTAAATCAAGATACAATTTCTTCGTGTATTTTGACATAATTATCAATTTATCATGCATCAACATAATATTTTTATTCCATATCAATTGGGCTTAATTTTTTAGTAAGATAAAAAAAAATACAATAATAAATATGAGTTTTTGTATAACTTCAAAAAGTAACCCATTTAAAATATATACTCTCTTAATAAACAACTTTGTTGAGAAGACACTATGCTTTTCTAGTGATTCATTAAAAAATACTTTAAAATTCTAGTTTGGTTACATTAAAAAAATTAATTTATAATTAAAAAACACTTTAAAAATACCTTTAGAAAAGTACTTGTGTATTTCAATTTAATTTTGACTTTGTTGGAAATTATAATTTAACTTACAATAATATAACTACAGTAAATATGGGAGATCATTATTAAGCTGGTAACTTTTCGTGAATACATAAGTGATTTTATAAGTTTTAGTTGTTTTTAAGTATTTTGTTGGATTAAGGTCTACCCTCCTCTATTTTCATATTATTTTGATAATATTCCATTTAAAATTTAAACATTAGGCTACATCATTATCATTCTCGAGTAGACTAACATACGTCATGTTTGTGTACGAAGATGTCATGATCCACAATACTCAAAATTTTGGTTGAATAAAGTCAGAACAAAAAATTGATCAAAACTTACATAATTGAGCACTACAAATTTAGATCATATAATAAATAAATATATTTATTTATTTATTTATTTATTTCTTGTTTTCACCTAAATATTTTGAATTTTGACCTAATTCACCAATTTTTAGAAGTTATTTTGTAGAGACCATTTAATAATCATTTTATTTTTTATTATCTATTTTTAAAATAAGTTTTTTTTTAATTTAATTTATTATGGAATCTACCCTGATCAAAACGTTTTCTTAAAATCCCAATCAAATTTTAAAACAAAAAAGAAAGTAGTTTTAAAAAATATAATTTTATTTTTAAGAAAGCATATTGAGATATAAGATTATATTGGTACCGTAGAACGGATTTAGATAAAGTCAAGTTGAGCTTAGCTCAACTAATTGGACATATATCCCAACTAACAAAACATGGGTTCCAATCGTCTTCCCTGGATTTTCCGACTTAATTATTAACAAAGATAAGAATAATTATTAAAGAAAAAAACATAATTTCATTGCAAAGGGTAGAGAAACTAAAAACAAAAAATGACCAAACAAGAAAAATATTTCAAAAAGGAAGGAAAATAAAACCCTTCTTTTGTAAGTGGTGATCATATATATCTCACATATACAAATTCTTTGGGGTTACATATAATTCCCAATATACTATATTTGAATTATCATCCCACAAAGAATTTAATTATGAATAATCATCAAACACACAAATTGATCTTGTCCCTTATTCTTTTGAGTTCTTTTTCCCTCTCTCTCAAAAGCTATACATCTCTCTCTCATTGAATTTACAGGAGGAATTTGGTCCGATCATCGGACGAGAGGGCGGGCGGCGGAGAGAGCTCCGGCGAAGAAATCCATGGCTGCCCTTTGAGGAATAATCAACTTTTTTCACAGTTTCTGAAGATCTCTCTCTTGATCTCTTTCATATCTTCGTCGTCGTCTTCTTTGTCTTCTTCACGGTGTTCCACAGCCCAAGCCTTTGGCTTCTGATCCTTTCATGATCCGAAGCTTCTTGCATGAGTTTATGAACATTCTGCAAAAACCCCACGCCTTTCATTAGAACATAGAGAGAGTTTGCATGCAAATTTATGTTATGAGAATATATAACTCTTATATAGTTATTGGAGGGAAAAAATATAATATTAAAAAAAAATTTCAAAATTTTTCTCAATTGGAGATGGCGAACTCATTTAAAGTAAATACTGACCAGTGAAGACATACCACCGTTTACAACACTATTAAATATTTGACAACAAGATAAATGAAAAAAAAAACAGAAGGCTTTTTCGAAAAGTAATGAAAGGTCAATTTCAATGATGGCCCACCAATCATCACAAAGAAAATAAGATAAATAAAACTTTACCAACTAAGTTTTATCCAACGTTTAACCCAATTTTAAAACTTCCATATAGATCTATTTTTACCGTTTTTTAGTACAACACTTGGGACGAGGGATCATCACAGAGAAAATAAAATAAATAGTTGTTAGTTTTTTAACTGTCCGTGAAAACTTTACCATCTAAGTTTTATCCAACATTTAACTTAATTTTAAAACTTCCAGAGATCTATTTTTACTATTTTTTTTGTAGCGAGGGATCGAACTCACGTCCTTTAAGTTAGATATATACGTTAATTATTGCTATGCTAGCTTTGACTATTTTTATAGTTAAGAGATTTGTTAAGGAAGGTATTAAAAATCAAAACATAAACTTTTGCAGATTTTATAGGGTTTAATGTTTTTTTTCTTTCTTAATCTAATTTTCTTGCATGAGAGCTTAAATATGAAACTTACTCCCATGGAACATCTCCGACGAGCATCCAATCGCCATCTTTATCTTCATAAGTTGGAACAAATTCCGACCCATTGTAGCCCTCTCTCTCACAAAACTTCCCTGCAAAAACATTCAAAAATTACAAGAACTTGTTAATATTTTCATCCTAAAAGACAGATCTCAAGATCTAAAGAACAAAAAAAAAACAAAAAAACAAAAAAAAAACAAAACTTACCTAAAGAGAACTTGAACATGTTCTCCAAAGCTTGAAGAAGCTCAGGATATCCTTCATAGATCTTGAGATCAACTTTCCTCAGAAAAGGAGCTCCATCCATGCTCACTTTTACGAACATCGCCGCCGCCGCCTCATCCTTCTTCTTCGCCGTCTGAAAACAATTCTTCCGGTAAGATCTCACCGGCGGCCACCCCACAACCTGAGCCCTGAATATATAAACATATCATATGTTATTAAAAATGTTTTTTTTTCAAATAAGAGAGATTAATTAAATGGGGGTTTTTTTTGTTTGTTTTTGTTAATTTGTTTTCTTACTTGGTCGGAGGGGGATCGGAGTTGTTGTTTTCTCTTTTGGGTTCCGGCGGTTTATGGTCGTCGGACGGGAGAGATCTTTTGTTGGTGCAGATTCGGGTGATCGGAGAAGTTTGATCGTCCGGCGATGTTCCCGGCAGGCCCAACCGGAGCTCGGTTGCGTCCAAGTTGAGATCTTTCTGGAACGCCATGTTTTTTTTTTAATCTGAAATGAAATGGGTTTCTGGAGATGGGATTTTTCTGTGGGTTTCTGTGATGGATTTTCTCGGGAACCAAACAGAAAGTGCAGAATCGGAGTGGAAAGTGGAAAGTGGGAAGAGAAATGAAATGAAATGCGTGTTGTCCCAAATAACGCTCAAAGGTATTTTATAGAAGCCGATCGAATAGAAAGTGCCATCGCTTCCCACTTCCCTCCCTGGCGCGTGCTTTCCACGCTCTCCACATTATAATATATCATTATTTTAGATTTAATTCTCAAAACAATTATGAAGTTTTCTTAATAATTGTACACAAATTATAGTTTTCTTTTCCTTTCAGATTCGAATTTTATTTGATTATTAAGTCGTATTATTTTATTTTCATACCTAAATTTTGTAGTGTTGTGTTTTAATTTTAACTTTTGACCATTTTATTTTGATTGTCTTTGGATTCTTGATAAAAAAAAGTTATTTTGGTTATTATAATGAATTTAGCTTCAAATTTCTTATATATGTAAACGATCCCAATTTAAATTTTTGTTAGATTTTTGAGAGTGGAAATAAAACAACTTTAATTCCCTTCCTGTTTCTTTAAGAACAAGTAAGAAAAACTTTAAATTTTATAAGATTAGAGTTCGATATTCAAAATAAAACAAATCTTCATTCATTTCTTATTTACTTTCAAAACATGTCATTTTTATTCCTTTCAAGTCAAATTTACCATTGGGCTAGATCCGAAAACTTAAAAAGTTCTTACACTATGGTAAATTCTAAACCTTCCATAACTCACGTGTAGGTTTAAAGTTATTGAATGTATGATAGTAATTTGATCAGTCGCTAGATCCAATACGTGAGCGATTAATACAGACTAGATAGAAATCAAACTATAAGGATATGATCAACCAAAAGAATTAACACGACCCTACTGTTCGACCCCCGTTGAATCACCACGGACCCGAAAGTTGAATTATAAAAAGAATAGAGGAGTGTGGGGCCCCAAGGAGAGTGGGGGAGGGAACATGGGGAGGGCAGGGGGAATCAAATTGGTGGGAGGGTGGGGGCATGGGCAGGTAAGGGTGTTTGGGTAATGAGCTACACAAAATAAAAGGAGGCTGTCTTTGAATTTGAAGGGCAAAAATTAAAGGCTCTTTCTTTTAATCAGACGGCTGAGGATGGAGATTGGTGGTGGCAACTAAAAGGTGATGCATTTGCAGCCGTTGGATGTTGGGGTTGGCCCCACATGGGGTGCTCTTTTTGGGTGAGACAAGCATGGTGGGTGGTACTGGTAATGGTATATTGCCCTTCAAAACTTTTCAAAAACTGCATGCTGTGGTGGTTTGGGGTTGGGGGCAGTCTTCCCATGTGCTCACTTTCACCCTATTAAAAACTCCGCCCGAGTACCGACTATTAAGGGCAGACAGATTTTGAATCTACGTCGTATGGTTATTAAGATGTAGTTGTGTTACGGTGGTTCATTGGACTATTTTTTCTCTCTCTCACATCTCTTGATGTTTCGTAGATAGTGTTATTCCCTCTCGTAGGGTGAGAGTTGAGATTCGGACTTATGGTCTATAAGAAAAGTTACTCATACTTCTCTTTCTCGTTTTATTAGATTTTTTTTTGTTGAAATATCATAATTTAAATAAGATGTGAGATTCGAATTTATAATATGTAAAGAAAGTTACTTCTTTTTGTAGTACAACGTGTGGAGATGGAGAGATTCGAACTGACGACCTTTTGATCGAAGATATATGTCTGAACCGGTTGAACTTATGATTAGGTTGGCTAAAGAAAGTTACTTATAACTCGACAAGTTGAACTATGTCCCATGTATGTTTTAGTAATTGTTAACTTGTTATTTGGATATTCTCTTATTTTTAAGGTTCGGATATTTTGATTTTGTCCCCGCTATCACTTTTTAATTTTTTTAATTTAAACAAAAACAATAAGATGTCTTATTCACAAAATTTCTCTCACTCACTTTCCAAGGGTTGAGTCACTTTTTTAGGATTTAGGTATTTGTTATTGTTGTCTTGACAAAGTTATTTGGTATGGTTCATCTCTCTCTTTAATCTTTTAAATTAGATTAGGTAATTGTAGTTCTTTTTTCCTCGGGGTCAAATTGGTAATTTTATTTACGAAGGGGAAAATTGTAAACTAAAAATATTTACTGGTATACGTCAATTAGCACTGAATTATGCTCGACCGTTTTTTTTTAACTTTAACCGAAGTATTATTTGTGTACATAACTATTTATTTATGTATATATCGTTGGCTTAATATTAGTAATGTGAGGGGAGGGGTGAGAATCATTTCATTTCACTCTAAATTTAAGAACTTAAAGATTAACAATATTTAATTTATCTGT